CAATCGAATAAGAAGCGGGTTCAAACTTAAATGTGTAGCTTGGCAAATCTATCTACGCCTCTGAGATGCGCAAACGATAAAGAGAGATTGTAACTGTCCACTACCAACTTCTATCAGAAAGTTCAATCGGAAAAAGAATTTGGACTTGAATACCAAATTCTCCCTTTTGTGTTGTATGTTCTCACAAGACATAAATGAATTGAGAGAAAATGGATAAACTTTCAACTGATAAATTGAATGCATAGTTACCAGAAATTATTATAAAACGTAGCAAGTAGATAATCTACAAATCATTGCTTACAATAATGATAGCAAAATATCACCATATAAATGATACAATTCATATGATATTTTTGAAGAGTAGTTGCCTAAAAATTATAATATGATTTTTTATTTACTGTTAAGACATGTTTTTCGTCAGGAAGTGTTCCGATGCAGTGTCTCTATCTTCACCATGTGAACCAATGATCAGATAATTCACAATGATATCTGCCACGGGTTCATTTGACATGAAATAGCCCTCCAATTTCTTTGCTCGGAAATAGTTAAAAAAATCGTCGCAATATTGCATGGCATCGTTGAAATTGGAAGTAACATTTTTATTTGCCACGTAATCTTCGGTCCACTCCAAACCAACTCAATTGGATTCAAATCCGGGTGATATGGCGGTATTTCTCGGATGTTGTGATCTATTCCATACTGTTTAAATTTGGGCTTACAGTTGTATATGAGGGCATATAATTCAGTTTTCAGCATATTTTTGCAAAGGAATATTCCTCCCTGATAACTATGATTGCATATCAACCACAGCGCTTTTTAACGGCAAATTGAGAATCAACTGTTTCAACACCCATTTCTTATAATTATCAAAATTCATCTCGTTGTGATGATCACCTGTATGACAATTCAATGCAAGCATTGGGCACAAAACCATTATCATCACCTGCATATATTATGATCAGACGTTGCCTTCACCTGCACGTCCTCTTGAGTTCATTCAGGTTGGAGCCCAGCTCCCTTACCCTTTTGGCTGATCTTTGTCGAAGAAGGACAAATAGGTTCATAACTGAGGGGATATTGGCGGTATGAAGTCCTCAGACATTAGTACCGCCCTTCACGGGGTACCCCTACCTGGCTGGGGTGGGATGGATGAAAAAGCTATTCGTCTGTTAACGGGGGACATGAGGGCTTCATTCGACAGAGTGTCGGGGCCTTCTATATCGGGAGGGGTCTCCTACAGCATAATCTATAGCTTCTCTGACTAACGGATTTTCGTGAGTTTCCGCGCCATCAAAAACTCGCCGATTCTTCGACTGGACGGACTGCCGAATGGAAGGCAAGTGCAAATCTCTGCGGATGTCTTCATTCCTCACGAACCAAGGAGCATTCATAATCATCCTCATTAACTTCTTTTGTAATCTCTCCAAAATGGAGATATTGTACGTAGCCGCTTGTCCCCAGACGCCTGAAGCATACATGATGACAGGCTTGAACATCGTATTGAAGGTGGTAATTTTGTTCTTTAAACTCATTTTAGATTTTCTGTTGATCAGAGGGTACAGACTAGCTATCCGACCCTCGATTCTTGATTTAACGTATATAATGTGCGGGTTTCAAGTGAGCTTACGATCTATTAGAAGGCCGAGGTACTTTACCCGCGCTTGCCAGTCAATTTTCCTTCCAGAGATTTTCACTTTTCTGGCCGGAGAAGATTTCAATCTTCCCACGGTTATCGCCTGAGTCTTGTTCGGGATCACTCGGATCTTCCAATCCAGGTACCAACGCTCGAAGTCGTCCAGTGCACGTTGTATGTAGACGACGCCGAGCTCCCGACCCATGGAAGACAAGAGGAGAGCCGTGTCATCGGCGTACAGGGATATCTTCATACGCTCGGGCCTCGGAAGGTCACTGGTGTAAAGTGAATACAACGTCGGAGAGAGCACAGCCCCCTGTGGCACTCTCTGTTGTCAGACAGAGAGCCCTCTACTCTAACCTGAAATGTTCTGTCTTTCAGGAAAGACCCAATCCACCGGATCAGGCCCCGAAGCAGGTCGAACGCGATTAATTTGTGCAGAAGGCCTTCGTGCCATACACGGTCGAAGGCCTTCGAGATATCTAAGAGAACAATATGCACTTTTGCTGTTAAGCTCATGGATGGTGTTTTCGACCAGCCTTAGAGCTTGTTACTCAGTGGAGTGTTCTCTCCTGAAGCTAAATTGTTCATCAGGCAGAACATTTCGGTCCTCAACTTCTTCGTTGAGCCTTTGGAGAACAACTCTTTCAGCCAGCTTAGCCGCCGACGAGAGTAGACGGATCGGGCGATAGTTCTGTGGGAACAGCGGGTTCTGACCCTGTTTTGGGATCATGACGACGATAGCATGCTTCCACCTTCTGGGGAAGTATCCGAGGGCCAACGAACTGTTTATAATGCACAGTAGGTTCTCGATGCAATTTTCCGGGAGCCTCTTCAACAACTTGTTGGTTATTGAATCGACCCCCGGAGCTTTCTTGGCCTTTGCGGCCCTAATGTATCGCCTCAGCTCTTCCACAGAAGCTGAACGGATGTTATCATCATCCTCCGTGAGGAAACGGTAAACCCGGTCTTCCAACAGCATGTGGAAGACCAACTCCCGCCAAACGGTCATCTCCCACTGAACCAGTGAAGCGGAAAAAATGGAAAGCGGGGATAAGGGAAAGTACTCGAACGTCCCATAAATAGTCATCTCTCGGAGGAATCAGTCCAGTCATCACCCGAAGACGATTGTAGATACTGACAATCGAAACGTCGTGAACTAACGTGATGAAACACTCAATTCGTATTTTAATAACGTCGCAGAACTGCTATCTTCTCAGTTTTCTCAAGCAGGTAGAAGTTTTCCAGAAAAAAAGAAGACTATCATCCATGTTTTTGATACCTCCCACAGAAGAAGAAATAATTTGAATTCCAGGATGTCTCCTGGTTTTGATTTGATTTTAGTAAAAGTTTTCAAACTAGTGAAATATGAATTGATTCCTATCATAAAAAAATTATCGATACATCTTTTGAAACAGGTATATTTCCCAAATTGTATGAAATAGAAAAAAATTCACCCTTATATAAAAATGGAAATCCCAATGAAAAATGTAATTATCGGCTAATTTCCATTCTTCTTATTCTATCAAAAATCATTTAGAAACTGATGGACAATGGATTATTATGATATTTAAAAAGTATTGATTTTCTCCATTGTAGACAGTATAGTTTTCGCAGGTCAAGTGGATATAGTTTCCAAAATTCAACTCCAATTACATTCAAATAATTTTCGTTATCACTTGATTTGCGGAAGGCATTCAATACAGTGAATCATGATATTCTTGTGCAAAAGTTATTGGCATTAGAAGAATAGTATTCACATGGTTTCAAAATTATCTTAACGACAGAAAGCAGTTTACTGTACAACAGAAAAGAGTTCATTGAAAACATCAAGTGTGGAGTTCCACAAGGTTTTGTTTTAGGTCCGACTCTATTCTTAATTCACATCAATTCTATTACAGAACTGAATGTATGTGGTTCTATCAATCTTTTTGCTGATGATATAACACTCATTTATTTTTCTAAAAACTAAAACTAATATCTCTCAGGTTGGGATCTCATGAGAAACATTGAATTTCGATGAATCTCGCTATACCTTTATAGCAAGAACAAAGTTCAGATCACAAAACGTGTTTTCTCAATTTCAATAATAACTTGATAGAATTTAAAAAAGAAGTGAAAACTTTAAGTTTTTATCTAGATCATAATTCATCTAGGAATTCAATATATGAGTCGACTCAGAAAGGACGGTGAAGTACGTAAATTTCATACTTTTAGTTTTGTTTTCCTGTAAGCAATTTTTTGGATTGTGTGTATTGATAAAACCATGATATATTTTGAATTTTTCATATTTCATCATTTTTGTCTAAACTTGTGGCATTTGGGTAGCACCTGCATTTGTAAAAAACTGGACTGTAAATGAAATACAGTACATTTCTGTCATATTTTCACTGTTATACAATAAAATACCGTACTCTCCAAAGAAAATGCTCAATGTTTGTCATATTTCACTTTTAACAAGGATATTCGAAAACTTTTCAACAATTATACCCTTCAAAGGTTTATATTACGCAGTCACTTCTCGGGGTGAGGTTTTCAGTTCGCTATTTATTACATTTGAGCAGATACTTTGTTGATCTATATCTATTTATTTTCCAGGTTAGAAACCTAGAAAGTATCAAAAAAAATCCGTTGTGAATCGTCTTACATATTTTGAATGAAATAGTTTTGGATCATTCAGTATAATCAATAATGTTGATATGTCAAATTGAATATTTTGTAACGTCATGATTGTCATAATAAACCAGAACGTTTCACTTGATCCTAGTCTTACTTTGAAGTTATTCCAACTCGATATTGGACGTTTTCCAAAGACAAACAAAATCTATTAAATTCCAATACACACTATGCATATTAACTACTTTCTAATTGAAAAAACCCATCAGATTAAACATACATATTTTAGTTTAGTTAACTCCAACATAGTTCATATGAAACTAGTCATAAAATTACGTTATATATACGTATACTTTCCATCAACCTCGTTCTCTATTTCAAAAAACTGCAACCAAGTTATTTTACACCCGAAAATCACTTTCAAGTAATTTTTAACTCATTTCTATGGGATTGCGAAACGAACTGACTTATGAAATGTCCATTACCCAACACAAACTAAAAGGAACATTAGATTTTGCAACTTACCTTTCTCGCAAACGTAACCTGCGACGGTGATTCCGAGACCCAAGTCATCTTTTTTCAGTTTGACGGTGTACGTCTCAGTTTCAGGAAGCTCGGTTTCGTGTAGAGATACATCGAGGGAAAGCATTTTCGGAAGGTTATTTTGGACGTCAGCCCTGGTGATGTATGGCACCGAAAACGGGTCGATCATACCCTGTAAATCTTAATGTACTGTTAAACAACCACAACTGCTCAATGGATCATGAAATTCGTACGTATTTGTTTTTTCAACGAGTAACATTTATACTGCTACAAAAAACGCAATTTTTTAACCGTTGTTATGAATTTTGGCAAACATGGAAAGGGTAAGTAGGTCTAAAGTGAGTGGGTCTATTCGACCCTCCACCGCAACCAATAAGGGTTTACTGTGGCTCACACCTATTCAAACTCGGCCAAATAAATCCAGCGTCTTAACGAAGTCGATTAGTTTGTATGGTGAGTGGTCTTTCAGGTCATACGGTGAGAGTACGGATCTGCCGAACTCAAAGAACCTGATTCGGTCCCCAGCGGGGCAGGCACAAAGTATATGCTCTGCAGTTTCATCATTTTCCAGATAGAGGCGACACACACTGTCTTCCGACAGTCCAAGTTTCTGAATGTAATGATTCAAATGACAGTGACCTGTAAGAAGGCCTGTTAGACACCGTAGTTCATCCCTACTGTAGTCCAACAACTGTTTGGAATCAAGCTTGATTCCAAGCTTGAAGTGCCTTGAAGTGAGCCAATCCTGGAAGATTCTGCCAGAAGTCCATAACTCTTCTTGCCATCCAGGTGTTCAGTGTTTGTTTGGCAAAGCCCAAAGCGATGCCAGTGACAGGTTCTGGTCCATTGAAGCCGCTTGCAGCACACTCCTTTGCAAGAGAGGCAGCAGCTTCATTGCCTTCCAGGCCAGTATGGCCAGGAATCCAGACCAGAGACAATCTGTTTAGTCTTCCTATCGAGGAGAGTCTTTTTTGACAGTTTGCTACCAATTTAGACGTTGCTCCAAGCCAAGAGCTTCCAATGCCGATTGACTGTCCGAGAATATTTTTATTGACGTGTGAGTGAGGTTGGATTTGTCCAATCTCTCCGCTTGAAATACAGTCGCATAAGTTCCTAGGCAGGTAGATAACTCTGTTCTGAGTCTGCGACTGAAAACACCTGCACCAGAACCGTAAGGTGTTTTTGATCCATCTGTGAACAACTATCTGCTTTTGATATTTTCTTCTCCATGGGTAGTCACATCGTATTTTTCTCGTTATTGAATAAAAAATCACATTTTTTTCGCTACTTTGATATGTTTGTAAAACAAACTTGGATTTTTTAGGATTCGAAGTTCCTAAGTAGAACTTTTCAGAATGTCATACAACTTTGAAAAATGTCAATCTATATGAAAGATTCGACAGGAGCACCTCAGACGCTACTTTGAATCTAGCAAGTGATGATAATAGCCTCTGCCTAGCTCAGAGAAAGAAACGTAATAAAGTTTCAATATCCTAAGGAGAAAATGAGTTAGCCTTGGACATTCCAACTATTATTCATTGACATCTGATTATGATAATGATCAAGCAATACAGTATATGTAGGAATCTGGATTTTTGTGAAAATCAAATATATAGGAGAAGGTTCTCAACCCTTATTGAGATCTATTCACTCATTTGTTATGATACTTTGATCTGATATGTGTTGAAATTATTTCAAACTAACGACTGACATCGCATAGGAATCGTCATTAAATTTCAAGCAATTTACACAAAATATCATTGAATTATATACTTATTTCTTCCTCTAGAATCAATCTATTTATTGGTAAATACCGTAGAAAAATTCGTTCTGAAGTTTTTGAGTTCATCGCGTACAAAAAAAAAACAATTGTCACAGAAATGGAGGCTTGTCCTTAACCTCTGTATATTTTTTCATCAAGTTTTAACAGTTTCAAGAAGAAAGGTTGACCAAAAAATGTTTGTGACAGCACATCCTAATGCAACATAAATGTGTGTTTTATAAAATCGAGTAGCGGGAAATGGAGTTATTGAAAATTCAAAAAAGATTAAACAAAACAAAAATTAATATTAACACCAGCGTAATATTTTCTTTCTCTCTCATCAATTTGTGAATTAATCGTTGAATTTGTTTCTATTCATGAAATAATATAGAGTTTATCCCCAAGAAGTTGAGGGGTCATGAATAGTAGGGTATCCAGTGATTGATCATCATGAACATCACACATCTCTTCTTAGCTTAAAAGCTAACGGTGACGTTAGCAATCTAATTCATCAAGAGAAGAGCCCAACCCATGAGACACTTCATCTTACAGAAGGAAATTGCTTGGGCAGATACGAAATATCTAGGAGTTTACATTCAGGGCCCATATTACCTACAGGTTAGAACTAGGGAGATCAGCTCAAAACAACCACAGCCTCTTAATAGAAGTCTGAAAATGAACCACTTCTGTAGTTGTTAGGGGTTATGTATGCGTCTGTCGCTTGAGAACGATGTGGAAAAACATATAGGCTCCATCCAGATCGAAAGGTTCATGTTGTTCAAGTTCAAGTTCAACTTGGTTTTGCGAGATTTTCATGAAGCCCTTAATCGGGATGATCCATGACTCTGGGAGAAAAACAAATACATGTGATCAAGCGACCAAAATCACATATCACAGAGTCGGCATATATCACTCAGATGAATATACATTTCAGTTTAACAAACGTCACAAACACCACTTCGGAGGCCTACTTGCAAACACGTACACGGTACGTCCAGGAAACAATAATAACAGATAACAAGGAGTATCCAAATATGGACGTGTTGGGACCGTTCGGCAGAGAGTTGGATTGGTGGAATTGAAATTTCACAACCCGCTACGTCAAGGTGTGTAGAAAATACCTCTTTGCGATATATGGCGGTAGAACGTAACACATTGAACAATACGATATCGAGACTTCTAGTCAGTATAGAGGAACAGAAATTCAAAAACTGTATTTCATCTCATAGAATAGTTCCTAATCCATACATTTCTTTTCACGTTGAGAATGTTTTCATTAATTCAAACGTTAACGGGTTCATATACACTTTCTTTATTAAAATTTCTGTGATATCAACATAAAAATTTCTACTGCCGGAGATATTTTAAACATAACGTTTTTATTGCGTTCTGTGTTAATTGAATTTCATGTATAATCAATTCTCGCTTCTAATGCATTTCTTGTACTTGTTTCTCAGATTTAGATGTCGAAAATGAGTGTGATTTTACTTTGAATCATGAATGAATCAGAAACTGTTTATATGCTACCTGAATTTTACGATTTTCCAATGTTGATTATTTGTATTATTCCTATTGATCAATCGAATAAGAAGCGGGACTAGATCAGTGAAGTCACGGGCCCAGAAAATTCGATTTTTAACAATAATTTACGGGGAAACAACGGTATTTAGAGAGCTGAAACAAAGTGCACTGTTTTTCAAATTGAAATTACTATCAAATGAAGAGTAAACCAAAAATCATGAAACAAGCCCAGTATTTGTTATTAGAGAAAAAATGAACGTTCAACAATGTATGTCGAATATTTTTCAATCGCCAACTACAGAATATCAAAATTAACATTTCCAAAAAACTTTTTCAGCATCCTCTAAGCTTCATTCAAATCTCTTCACATTTCTCTTGTTGGCACTTCATTAAATTGTAATTCTATTTTAAATGTGTCATCCATTCTTCGTGGACCAGTTAATTTGTCTCGATAATTGATATCTCAAATGTCGTTTTCATGGTAATGCGCTTCGTTTGTCATTTATACACAGAATATCGATTGAATAATTATTTAGCAGGATAGCCTTTGAACGTTATAACTGAACCATGATGAACTGTTAATTAACGATTTCCATCTCTGTATCAGAGAGTCAGTTCACTTTGCCGTTTGAGTGTTACTTTATGCTAATAATTCAACACAGCATTCAATTCCAATTGATCAATAAAGTAAAAGGGGCAAACATTGATATTTCTTCATGATTTCTTTTTTATTAGATCTGATTTTTCTTTAAATCTCTAATAATTTCCTGAGACAGGCATACTATATAGTAATACTAAGCAATGATGTACGTAATGTTCTGATTTTTACTTTATCAAAGAAAAAAAAATCCAGTGTCAATGTTACCCCATAGACTCATAGACAGTATAACATTGACATCCCATATAAATTGAAGAATAAGTCAATCTTAAGGAATTGTTGAGCAACATTGACACACATAAATTTGGTTTATGGCCTTTTTAGGTAGAAACGAACAATATTTCCTTATTTCATTTTTCAAAACTAAGGACTTTTTGGGTTAAACAGCCTGAAAACCTTGTTGTTTTTAAAGAGATCATATTTTTATTCTGAATAACACAAGAATAATATAATGTAGGAACCTTATTATCAAAAACTAGAACTTAAACTAGGAATTCTGTCTTACAAACATACAAACTGAATTTTGGAACGTTACTTCGGCAAGGTAACAATACTAAACTGATAAATTTTGGTAACTCCAGTAAAAAAATGTAGTTATCGCCGGTTCGTCAATAATTGCAACTTCTGCATTTAATAATATCGGCTCTGTGTCCTCAACATCAGGATATACAAAATACAAACCCTTTTTACGTAAAAAGTAAACTTCGATATCGCCATTACCTACTTCTACAACTTTTCGTATGTTTAATGAATGATATCTTTTTTCCCAACATATTTAACGACCACCCAATTCCCAAGTTTAACGTTTTGAATGTCAGCGTGGGTACTTCTTTGACTGTTGTTTGTTTTAGCCTCAATTACCCCATTTTCTCCTTCTTCAATTATCTCATTCTCTACTAGTTCATTTTCTGCAGTGATTGAATCTTCAAAATCTTTCGGCTCATTGTCACTATTATCATCATGAATTACCTCTTTTTCTGACGAACCGGGCCCCAGAAGATGTGTATGGCATCTGAGCAGAATCCTTAGCGATAACAATGTGTGCCATCTGAGATGTTTTTGTCATATTTTCTAAAGACAAAGGGGAAATGCCCGACCTATCAAAGCCACCTAGCGAATTACTTCTGAACATTTTTATAACCCGATTCTTGATAAAAATCTCGAAGTATTTTTCTCCAAGACGCCTTAACCGATTTGTAAACGCCAACATCCAGATGCTGAACTGAATGGGAGATGTGAGTTGGTGAACAGAATATTTCGATATTATGTTTTGCGGCTGTTTCTACCAAGTCCAAAAATAAATGTAAGTAATGCCCATCCTAAATAAGAAGCATCCCAACGATGGCTTAAGGTGTGTGTATCCATACCGAGAGGATGAATGACACTGAGCCTATCAGCTATCTCTACGGAACCTTCGAAATACCGGGCTCCCTCTCGTTGTGGTATCGCCTTGTCACGGTAATGTGGGGCTCTGCCGTGATTGACTTTCTTTCCCTAGCTACTCGTGGGACTTTTATGGACAGCATAAACCTAAAAATTATTTCTGACGCTGAGTCTACAGAGGAGATGGATGTCAACCTTACGACTCCAACTGATCTCCCTGTAAATTTAGATCAGGAGCGAGTCTACAGAGGATATTGGATAACGAGCTTACGACTTCAACTGACCTCCCTGTAAATTCAAATCAGGAGCGAGAGCTTTTCAACTCCCCAATTACTGATCCAAAAACTGAACCTAAAAAGTTTGGTGGTGTAGCCAGGAAACGACTGAATCGTCTCCTCAAGAGCGGGGTCCTTATAAAACCGCCTAGCACCAAATTATTGACCGGCGAACGCAAAATCTGTCTCAGGTGGAGGAACAAACCCCCCATGAGCAGGTTAGCAAACGTGTGCGCTCAAGTGATGATTCACCAAAACCATAGTTGAAAAAGCCCTGCACGGTTGACTTTAAGACATCGTCAGGTGTAGCTGCCGTGCAAAAACCCTCATATGGGAAAGTTGTCGCAGGTATCAAGGTGGGAATCTTGCACCTTGACTATCCGACTACCTCATTAACGATGAAACAGCAGAGCATATACTTTGTGCCTGCCCCGCTGGAGACCAAATCAGGTTTTTAGAGTTCGGCAGAGACGTACTCTTACCATCTGACCTGAAATACCACTCACCATACAAACAAATCGGCTTTGTTAAGAAGCTTGGTTTATTTGGTCGAGTGTGAATATGTGTGAGCCACAATAAACCCTTGCGGGTTACGGTGGAGGGTCGAATAGACCCACTCACTTTGGACCTAACCTAACCTAACCCTGTAAATCTGAAGTTGAAGGAAGAAAACTGTTAGGAAACCAATCAAAGAACTGAAGGGACCCCATCCAACCAGACGGTGAACACTTATAACGACAACTCTCCTGTCCGTCCTCGCACCAAATGGAATACAGGTGAAGTCTTTTGTAGTTGATAAACTTCGGTAACAAGTCTCCAACAGCATTGCAACACATAAGGACCGTGTACGTAGCTTTTGTGACGCTACCGACTAATTTGTTTGGATTTCGGCTACCCCTTTTGCACAACACTTTCTGGACACCTGCATCAGTTTGAAAACCAATCTTATCACAGTTAAAGATGTTCTGTGGCTTTTTATCCAAATCGAAACGCGAATAGACAGCTGGCAATTTATCATAACAATCTTCCATTAACTTTACACTTTAATCCTTCAAAATGGTTCATTAAAGTTGTTAAAGTTGTAAAGTTATGCCATAACGTTGAGCGGTTGCCTTAAAACTGTCACCATTTCTAACTGCTTGCAGAGCTTTTTGCATAGCTTCGTGATCATAGGACTTGTACTTTCGAATATAAGGGCGTCTGGATTTCTTTGTGCGTGCCATGTACAAAAAATTTCGAGAGTCAAAGTTTTCCTAAGGATTACATTGACTGTGTCAGTGTTGGACTAGGAGCTAGCATTGACACTGTCGAACATAACCTTGAATTAATTGTCATAAAAAAAATGTTTAGTTTTACAAAATCACTAACCGATACAAAAACTAATTTGTAATATTAAAAGTAGAGCTTAAATTACCTTTAACACCAAAACTTCGGGCCTATTGACTCAAAATTCACAAATTTGTCTATGCAAATATTGGGAGCACGTTAGCTGTTAAAAGCCGCTGTTATAAATCCATAGGTTGCTGCGGAGCATGCGCATTACGTCTATACAAAACATTCGGATGGTAATAGAGCACCATAAGGAGAAAATAGTATTAGATTTCGAAATTGTGTCAGTGTCAGACAGAAGTCTATCTGTCTGAACCCGATAAACTCAAATTCTACCAAACGATTCCTTTCTTCAGAAGACGAGATGATTCAAAAAGAAGGTTTATATGAATGATTCAATGACGTTTAGTAAGAATGCGTTGTAATATGATAATGGAATCCATGAAAAGTCAGGGCAGTGGTGCTATTCGTGCAAGATTTTATCCAAAGCACTGCCTAACCCCGTGAAGATATAACAAAATAATTCACTGGAGTCATTGTTTTTCTATCAAAGGTTTTTGACAGAGTCCGCAATGGAATATGTCTTTCTGTTGAGGATAGCTCACAGTACCCATTTCAATGTTCAAAATAATGGTCACATATAATGTGGCAATTTGAAAGCTTTTAAGACAGATAAGATATTAATCCTCATCAACTGAATAAGTAAGTTATCTCAAGCAATTCAAATTCATATTTACGGAATTATAACAGAATTGAAACTAGAAAATGAAAGCAAGCGGCCTGATAAACCGATGCGTAATGAAAAACGGTTGCAACTGCGTTGATTTTGTTTTACGGGGCGTATTTTGAAGGTTGAAGTCGCATTTTTTTGTATTGTCTTTAGATAGATAATGAGTAACTAACCTAGTTCAAAATATACTTATGAACATGCTTTTGTCTGAGTTAATTTTATCAAAGTTGATTATAAGTTGCAGGATGTCATCCAACTCCTGTATATAATATTCATTGCAGCAATGTTTTGATTGGAAAATTCCCTGAATGTGGGATAATGATATTTTGACATATATGCTACTTTCATTATTGATACTATAAATACTTTCACGGAGAGTGTTCAAGTGACTTGGCACATTTGATTCCACCAAGAGCGGTACATATCAGAAATACGCGACGGACTGTGGCTCCTCATCGTTTTGAGGTTCAACTCAGTACACCTCGAACTTCCCTGTTTAAGAACTCTTTCATATGGAGAACTGCGTTTATGTGTTTATGTGGAATAAATTTCCAATCCAATGTGAATCGCTACTTTCGCACAGGCACCGCTCTGAGAGCGCCTCAAGATTTTTCTGTAGTGCTTGTGTTTTGTCCTTAAAAAAAGAGATGATCAGAAAAATTATTGTTTTTTACGGCCCTGATAATTCCTATGATATATGCAATACTTCCGTCTCGGTCGGTAGCCAGCTTTGTTCACTCACTCAATCGACCAACGTGTCGGTCGGTGGTGCAAGCCGCAGGCTGATCGATCGATTTTCACTTGCTATCATGCAACCTGTGTTAGGAATCACACGTAAAAAAGGTAAGACTGCGTTAGTCCTTGGCTCGCACAAGTTCCGATTTCTGAGAGTTGTCGTTCGTAGGGATGCGACAGCTGGTTAACAGAAAAAAATATTTTTTTATTTTTTTTAGCCATAGCTGATTTTTTCTGATATTTCCACTTCTTGAAACCCTTTTGCGCTCAGGGAAGTCTGTTCTCAGAATTACCCAGATTAAAGTAATTTTGTGAATGTTATTTATGAATGAATGATTCAGTTGAATTTTTTTTTTCATTTTCTGAAGCTGTGGTTTATCAACCACCTATTAATAAAAAACGTTTTCATTCAGAGCTTGTTGATGAAAACTCGCATTTAAAAATATATCTCATATTAAATCATATCAACAGTGAGATCTGGAAAGCCAAACTCAAAACATTACATAAAAGTGATTTTATATAACTGGATCTTCTTGAAGTAATCAGTTTACTTGTAGCAGCAACGAATATAAGATGTGAAAAACTGTTTTCACCTTATGAATTGATATATCACTTCTGAACATTTCCATGTTCATTCAAAGGCATCAACTTACGTGAACTTGAATGGAATCGGGATGATGTTCTGTGTAGAAATAAGGGTCGGTATTGAAAGTGGACGGAGAAGGATGATATGCGAATGCTTCGCTGTATCCATTTTCTATGAGGTGTTTATCTAGCTCAACGGGGTCACCAAGGATCTTCGTTGGGACTATCGGTGCCAGACTTCCTAAGGTCTGAAAAAAAACGTGTCATTTATATTTACTTCATCATTCAACTCTCCTTCATTTACGGAACACTAATCTGAATTTAAAATTTCCATGACTACCACACTCGACATGCAGATCAAATTAGACCTACAAGATATAGATTGAGTAAAGCTATGAATAACTCTCCCAATATAATTCTTTATAATCACTTGCCTAGGGAAGTTAAATCTTTGTCCCCTCAATTGTTTCAATCAAAAGATGAAACAGTTCCTATACTATTGCAGAATAGTATAAATGCATAAATCAGTAGATGAACAAGGCGGGTTCTGGTACACTTCAAGGTCGCGCGTCGTTGGTGAGTGTTTCATTTTGAGACTTCCGTGAGTGGAAGAGAGAAACGTGTGACGTAATCGATGCAGAGAAAGATGGAATGAGTATCGGAAAGATTCTTAGGGCTTCACCCCTGAGTCCCCTCGTCCAGTACCAGTCACGTGGTCCTAGTAGTCATCGGCAGCAGAGAGAAATTAAATTAAAAAAAAAACATCATTATGAGATTTGAAACCAGGTAGTCGGCGTGGTAGAAGTTGTCCTTAGCCTCGAAACCAACGTGGGATATTTGAAATAATTGCCAATTATCGATATCTATGTAGGCTGTCATCGATAATCCAGAGTGATGAATGAAAACAGAAAAGGATGGAACGAGTAACATTCGAAGATAAGAGCGTGGTTGAATTATAAAAATAACGAATGTAGATGAAAATATTGGAAGCGTCAAAGTGATGAATGAAAAATCATATTAAAGAAAAAAAATGCGGCGGGATTTATTGGAAGTGAATGATATCACGTCATCAGCAAATAATGCTAGATATCATCTGGCAAATAGAGAAAAAATATCATTGATGATTGTTATGAATAATAGTGAAGCCAGGAGACTAGCTCGTTCAAATTACCCAAATTCATTTTAAAAAAATCACAGGAGACATGTTCTGCATGGAGTTATGAAGCATCTGAAAATTGCATTCATCAATTTTTTTCACCGTCAATATCGAGAAACGGGGATAAAATTGGTTGAAAACGTGAAACAGATCAATTGTTTCACCACCTTTTGTCATTTATTTCATCAAAGAACGAATATAAACAGACTTTAATGTTTATTAACGAAAATTCAATTGGTCATTGAGACAAACAAGCTGACAATATTCACTCAATAGAGTATTTACTTTGAACCAATACAGTTAAATAATCTTTCTTCTCATTGACCTGGTCAAAACTTGTGGTCTGTTTTTGCAACACTATTTTCACAACACACGAAACAATTCAGCTCAGTTTTTCTACAGCCACAAGCTGTAGCAAGGCCGATGATGCATTTGCATTAGATGATTTGAAAAACTTTGGGGGAGTTGCAATTCTTGCCACCCTCTTACCCATCCCAATTCTAATTAAGTTTTATGATAACTCAATCACCTGGTAGTATGTCTGAAAATAATGGAACTGGCTTTAATTTGTCATCACTTGATCCGACCAAAATATGCTCTCTTACCGAGGAGATTGCCTGCTTGATGGCAGAAATGTAATAAAATGTATTACACGTGGCGTCGCAGCCAGTTACTGCATGGAGAATCCATTGAGTAGAATTATCTGGCATACATTCGGTGTCTTTTATATAATTAGTAACTAATTGTAGTGAAGAATAACCAAAAATGAAATTAATACTGTTACAAGAAGGCAATTACTTGTTTTGATGAGACACGAAGTACTTTGCTCTCATCCCTCGGTGTCATAAATTCTACCCCAAGCAGGGTTTAAGGTTTCATTATATAGGTACTTTTACCTGAAAATCCGCGTTGGCAGATTCAATTGGCCTGGCAACCACCATTCGAACGTGGACTCCACACTGTCTCAGAACAGAAGCAACTTGCTCAGAACCCAATCCCCTAAGATTAACTTCGCCTATTTGAAGAATGTGGTCTCCACTCTGGAGTCGACCATCCTGTGAACAATTCAGTGACTATCAGATTTTTTTCATTTCAAATTCAAATGATTATTCTCAAGTTAGCAACTCCTCTTGATGATGCTAACTTGATTATCGAAACGCATGTCAAAAGTCAGTATTTTTGTTCTGATGATGGAAATGTGTTGTTTTCAATAGATTAATTTGCCACCAGACGTTCCAAATACTACATCATATCTCATATCTCAGTAGTTTTGGCCAGAATCTGGCAAACATTCGATTGTTAATTTATAGCCTTCATACTTTATTCTGTATATCATCCAATATTTGTTCACCCTCAAGATACATTTAGTGACCGATCAATTGGTGTTGGTTCAATTACTTTTTTATATGACTAAGAATTGAACAAGAACAATTCACTTCTTATACCCTGTCAGCATTAATTGGAGTATGGAGATGATTTGTGCTTTGGATTAAACAAAAAATGCATTCTTGTCACTAACTGTTGGTCCGTACAAGTCAAAATTGACTTTTTTAAAAAAAAATAAAAATGTCATTCATTCACAGAATTTCGAAAAAATTAATAAATCAATTAATCTATATATTCAGTTCATTCAGTTTCTATGACAATTTTAATCATTTGGAAAATGATTTGAAAAAACAATTAATGGAACTATAAAAAATAAAACAGAGGTATTGCGAAGTCGTTATAGTTTCAAATTTACAAAAATATAGAAGGTCAATACTTCATTCAATGAATATTACTGAGGAATTGAAAACTCTCCAAGTTGAATTTCAAGTAACAATTTAACTGAAAAAGGTATTTAAACCGAATTTAATATCACAAAACACATGGTTCTGAAAAATCTCATTCTTCACGCTCAATACAAACGAAATGTCTTCTGCATACTTTTCTTATTGACATTCTTTATGAATTGTATTTTTCATTTCCACACCACTTTTTAATTTTTTTTTCCAAATTCGGAACTTCGGTGAAAGGTATTCTTATATGAACTTTCTGCTTCACATTACCACACAGAAAAAGTCCAATGGCATACAATCTGGTAATCACAATGGCTAGTAATGATCCCAATTGCGTCTTAAAGTTCTACCTCTGATTTAATTTACGCACTGCTTGACTGTTACACACAGCTACACAGTTTGGTGTATTGATGCGCATCAAGCATCTCATTATCACATAATTTCTGTGTGATAATGAGATCTTTATCATCAAAAAACTCACTAATATAATTAGAAAAATTCGGTGATTTCAGCTTTTATAGTTTCTCTGAAGAAATACAACCCAACAGTTTGTCTGTCAACTATTTCGTACCGAACGTTAGTTTTAAGTGAGTACTAATATAGACATTCGATTACAAAACACGAATTTCGCTATACAATAACTTTCTCAAGTGTTTTCATACTGACTAAATTCTTTTGAATGTGTATTTCATATATTAATAATTTGAATCATGTGACCTTCTACTAATGTGATGACTAATAATTTTACCTGAGTGAAGGTTTGAATCATGACTACTTAATGACTGATAATTTTACCTGACTACAGGTAAAAACTAATTGAGGATGTAGAAAACTAACTATCAATTTCCACAATGGAAAACATATTCAGAAAAGGAAAATTCAAATCAATTTGGCTCTTCAGTGAATCATTCTTGAATCAATTGATTCATAACCAATGCAAAAGATATTGTTTCAAAATTAACTGTTCAAAATGTAATACTCCGTAGTCGTTGTTGAACTGATACCCCTCAGTCAGAAAATGGTTTGCAAATGTGAAATTGGTCTTCACATTCATGAAACTACAGCTTGTCAAATCTAGGAAGCGACTTGTAACATATCACACCTGCATACACTACTAACAGAGAACGCATTAGTTAGGATAGAAAAGGGTGAAATCTACCGTGCGACGGGATGCGCCTATTTGGGTTTTAGAGTTGCCTGAGAGTACAGTCCTTGCCGCGCCGCAAGTAGCAATAAGGGTGGAAGGTTTTTCAATTGATGGTCAATTATTAGTTTAGTATGATAATTTACGTAATTTAATTCAAATGAGTTTGTTTCTCGGCATTCGGTATTGCAGTCAATTTCGGGTTTATTGGGGTAAAATACTTATCCTGGAAATGTAATTAATTTGGGTTGAAGATTGAATTTCAAAACGAAAACTTCTTGGGAAACAGTATATCTATTAGGATGAATGAATCCAAACAAAAAACTAATTGAAGTAATGATAAAAAAATCACGAAGGTCCAGACAGATTGGAATCACTTGTAGAGTTATCACTATCTTCACTGGTACTATCGTTGTCACTATCACCTTGAACATTTATAATAATTTTGTCTATTGCTAAATCAAGTTCCTTTGGCTTCCAAACAAAAAACTAATTGAAGTAATGATAAAAAAATCACGAAGGTCCAGACAGATTGGAATCACTTGAAGAGTTATCACTATCTTCACTGGTACTATCGTTGTCACTATCACCTTGAACATTTATAATAATTTTGTCTATTGTAATATCAAGAGCAAGTTCCTTCAAAGCATAAAATTCTTCGGAACATTTAACGTGTTCGCAATGTTTGTTCTACTGTTCTTGTGTAAACGAAGTGAATAATTCGCCACATAAATTTTCAATGGATTTGAAATTGAAGTCCACATTTTTATCAGCCACATATTATTTCAGTGATGCCCATACCAATTCTATTTGGTTCAAATCTGGATGATAAGGAGGCAATCTGAGAACAGTATGTCCTTGATTTTACACAACCTTATCAATTTCATATAACTTCAATCGTTGTTTATGGAGTAGAGATCAATTTTTAGCATTTCATCCGGGAAATAAATGTTGCTTCGTCTTGACCATTTTCTCATCTCATCTTCCCTCGAGGACATGTTTCAGCACTTTTCATACTGAACATGTGGTATGGGACATTGTTTATAACCAAAACGCTTTTTCCTGAAAAATTGGGAGTTCACATTTTTTGCAACCACTTTTTGTAATTGTCCTTATTCATTTTGCTATGATAGTCGCCCGATTTTGTGATAGATTCGAATTTTAGATATGATTTTTTTACAAATCCATTTTCTCGTTCTGCATTCACAATTATTATAAGTCTCTGCCGTTTTGAAATTGGTGCAAGCAACCCTTCATTCTAATCATCATTCCAACTCTTGTCACGAGTATGTGAAGCATAGATATATGTTTCATCCTTATAAATTATTGTTAGAAATTTACGATATTTCTTCATGTCTCTGAGATAATATTTTCGTAACTGCTGAATCGCTGGTTTTCATTAGGCATTTTCTATTTTTTTTTTTCGTTTTCCTCCATGTGAACCCTATTTCATTCATCAAGTTTCTCAAAGACACGTAATATCCCTTGTAACCATTTTCGTCAACGTAAGGTGGTAATTTTTTGTCAGTAATGTAATGATTGATCATGTATCGACGAAGAAGGCTCTTTTCGAAATCATTAGCATTAGCATTCACTTATCTCGCTTGACCACACAAAACTTTTCGTTTCAATTTCGATTCGAATGACATTTTCTTAGAGCACAGGCTTTTATTGCATACTATACTTCACCGAAGTGGACACTACAAGATTGTCGTTAAGATTGAGCTCCGATCGTTTTTAAAGGTTTTCCACCACGCGCATCTTAGGGAAGGTCCTAAGTCGAGACTTTGAAGTGGCTTCCTATGTTCTTTCATTCTTTGGGAAAAGGTTCTGTCCGTTTGGCCAATATGAAATTACAATTATGTATCCGGATTTATCCGACATTGAAGTTTTGTCTTAATTGTTTTGAATAAATTAGCTCAAATTATTATTTGTCCGTCAAGCCCCATCCAAGGCTCTGCTTTCCAAAAAACGAGTGAGGTTATTGATAGGCTCACCAAAGTATGCTTATTATTGTTCATTGAAGTGGGACATACCTGGTAAATGGCTTGCTTCTGCAGTTTTTTGGAAAGAATTGTGTCGATAGTGTATAATACACCTTTTAACCGTTGTTGACAGCGATTGCTTTGACAAAATTCACGTCTTTTTGAAAATTACTTTCTGATTACTTTCTATTCCGCCGATTGAAAGAACACACGTCTGCAAAATAAATATTGCGATCTCTTTTGTTTTTTTATGCAATTCTTATGTTTCTGAGGGAGCTGAATCCGAAAATGACTTTCATTTTCTCATAGAACGTCACGTTTTCTGACAACGTGAGTAACATAAAAGTTCAAAAAAAAATGTTTACATTCATTATTGCGTAACAGAACACATTTTTTATCTGAAATACATTCAGAGGTCATTCAGAGCCGTCATAAGAAGGCTCATGACCGTTCCTCTGAGATGACTGGAAAGTCTGATATAGAGTATTTGAAGCGATTTTCAACTGTGGAAAGTGACTATACAAATAAATTCATCAATCCCAGCTTTAGGTGAAGCGGTGGTAGAAGAACTTTAGGAGGAAGCACCAATGTTTCATGCAGGATATTCTTTTTGGCAACGTTGAGCTTTTTCGGAGGCCAACGCCGTTTTCTATTCAAAAAATAATGATAGTTATGGCCTGTATACATCCAAAAACAGCAATGAAAATAAAATTGTACCTATTTATTTATGACTTCAAGTTAGCTAAAAACCCTTTTTCCTAATACAACAAAATTCCAGAACGTCAGGTTCTGGTTTTTAGATTACCTAAATACATAGGAAATACATAGTTGAAAACATCCAGACTGCTTTTTTGTTGCAGACTTATGCAATTGAGCTGGTTCAGCGTCTTTTAGATACAAACCATGTGAGTACTGAAACAGGAAATAGGAAATTGTAGACTCACTCACTATTTTTCCAACTCGAAATTATTTTCAATGTGATGAAAATTACTGTTCATGAAGTGAAGGGATGATAATGGTAAACCCGTAGAGTCCTTCACTACCTGAAACTTGTATGGATAACCTTGCAAATGAAATTCATAATAATCAGTTGATATACAGTTTTACCATGCTGGTACAAATATGTAGTATGTTTAAGGTACTAGTAC